TGGTTTCTTTATATTCAATTCTAAAAGTACCTGATCATAACATGTTTGACTGGAATGAGTGAAAGAAGAAGATAATAGCTATTGTAAGGGGGGGAAATGGATGGGGGAATTTATATATGTTTAAGAATACTGCACCTGAATTTGCTAAAGGGCAACTACAGCTATGATTCTTTTCAGATGCCTATGACTTGAAACAACTTTGCCAAAATAAAGGAAGAAAACAGAGATAAATGTCTAAAAGGAGAATATGTCTGAAGGGGAAAGCCTCTCCCTCTCATATATCATCTCTAAATTTCATTAAGAAATCTCAGAATAAAACATCTAACTTTAAGGAATCTAGATTTCCTGAGGGATTACTTCTATTTGAGGAAACAGCTTTTTCCCCATATCTTTCTATCAGAAGAAAATGAATTATTGAAATAAAAATTAAAAAAGACTATGCACTCTAAATAATGAAATTGCTATTAAACTAAATCAGGGTGTGGAATCTGTAGCCTTCCAGATGCTTCTGGGCTACAATCTTCATCATTCCTCATTCTTGGCCAAGAAACATATAAAAATTCAGATTCCCCATCCTTGAACTTGTGGCAAACTAAATCAAATATAGTGTCAAAGAATTGCCTAGACAAATGCTTCTTAAACTTCTTTCCCTCGGGAGCCCTTCCCACTTTTAAAAATTATGTAGGACCCCCAAAGAGTTTTTGTTTGTTTGTAACAATATTTACTATATTAAAAATTAAATTTTACACTCACTGCTCTCTATCATAATTGTTGATAGGATTTTAATATTTTATTATTTTTCAACATAAGCTGGCAAAAAAATGTGAACCCCTGAGTTCAGAGCATTGGGGGGGCACCCTTAGAGATCTTAGAACCATACCAGTTAGACCAGTGTTTCTCAACCTTGACAATTTTAAGGCATGTGGACTTCAACTCCCAGAATTCCACAGCCAGCAATGCTGGCTGTGGAATTCTGGGAGTTGAAGTCCACATGCCTTAAAATTGTCAAGGTTGAGAAACACTGATTTAGACAATTCCCTGCTTAGAACACTTTTTGAATCATAAGGGGCAAATGTAAGAATGTTTATTTGGAAAAAAATGAGTGGGGACTATGATGTTTGTGTCTACGCATGAGCAATATAAGTCTGTATGCATATTTATTCTTCTATCTGCTATTGTCATTGAGATCATATTTCACATTTAATTTACAAAAAGGAAAAAAGTCTCATTGCTGCAAGAGACTGAGACATTTAAAATCCAAGTCTTCCTTTGCACCAATTATGATTCTTACATCTAAGATCTGAATAAGCCCAACCATTCTGGATCTTATCCAGTACTCCAGGCTAAACTTACTGATCACTCAGCATGGCTTGCTTCCTGCTTAACTACCAAGATTAGAAATGAACTTGGAGACAATTCTGGAAAAATAACCTCCAGTTAATTCCTCTGTGTCAAATGTTTTGCAAATATACTCTTAATCTTACTTCTATTCAACAGTTCCAATTACCTTTAATGTAAAGGTTTTAGATTAAAGCAAAGTGTAAATTTATGAAATATAACAGCCTGAACCTCTGCTTTGTTGTCTGTAAAGCACCAAGAACTGCTTTTTAAAAAACTGCTGATAAGTCCCTGTGCTGAAAAATGAGAAGTTCTTTTAGAAATTCAAAAATTAAAATGCAACATTTAAAATGGTGTATATATTTTAAAATATAGAAAAATATTATTTTTGTATCTATTTAAACTGGTCTGAGTTCTCTTATACCCAATAAGACAGTAGAGTTGTAACTATCAAAAATGGGTGGACAATTGTTTTTTATATTGTTTACCTGCAACTAATAGGTATCTTTCCTTAATTCAACCTTATTGTCTATTGTGATACTTAAAATAAATGGAAACTACCTCATTAAGCTCTAATGGATCATTAAGACATTAAGACATTATTCTTCTCACAATTATTTTTCTCCCTTCTGATGTGTGTTCACCTATGGCATTTTGGCAATTTACCTACTGTGTTTCCTTCAGTGATTGTCTAAAAGTGATGAACAGTCTGACTCAACTCCCGGGAGCCAATCTTGTAATATGCAGTTTGGCTTCCTTCTGCTTTAAATAAATTGCTCCGAGTGCAAAATCCAAGTTGCATGTAAAACTTACTGCTCCAGAAATAGAACATTCTGAAGAAATCCAGAACATTCTATATCTCTTCTGAACCACACTACTTTGAGGATGATAAGTCTTCTAAATCAGAAATGGTCTGTGGCATTCCAAACATAATCCAGCCCAAAGAAGTCCTTGTAACAAATCCAAACAACTACCTAGGTAATGCCTACATTAGTAAGCATTGGTTCAGTAATTCCATTGTAACATATAGTATAATAAGAGAACAGCAATGATATGAGAGTCTTTGAAAATTGTTATTCTTACTCAACCCTATTATTACTCTGTGAAATTATTCTGGAAGTGTCAGAGATCTTTAAACCCAAAGCCTTCAGTAGTTACATTCTTCTAAGAGAGTGTTTCAAGCATTTTCAGTAATTCACATTTTTCCCTCTGCTACTTGGATTTACATTATTTTTTTAAAAAATGTCAATGTACAATATTTTCAGGATTGTTGCTGTGAGACTAGATTTCATCCCAGTCAACCTCCCTATAGGCAGTTATAATTCTGGAAAACTCCAGAAGTAGTTTTGTACAGTTTTAAACTGTACATCTAGTTTAATTTATTGACTTTTTTTGGCTTTCTCATCCCTCACCTTTTTGTAAGCTCTCACCTGATAAAGGATGCTGAAACACATAAATGCTGGCAAAATCTTTTGTATTAATTTGATTGTTTCCTATAAAGATATTTCCCAAATTGTAACATTATTCTCATTAAGGAACTGGTAGCACTTATGTTATAGATAGGTATTTAAAAAGAATGGGCAAGGTTATTCATTTTGATTTTGATTTTAGAAAAACAACTGAAAATATAGTTTTAAAATATGAGCATTATTAATATACATGGAATTAAAGCCCAAATAGGAATTTCATGCATGCTGCGCCTAGAAACTATAGTGAATGGGGGGAAAGTGATAATAGAAAGATGTTTGTGTGTGTGTTTGTGTGTGTGTGTGTGTGTGTGTGTGTGTGTGTGTGTGTGTGTGTGTGTTTCCAAGTCAGTCTTTACTCCTGGACAAGTCCCTGCAGATTTCTTGGCAAGGATTTTTGGAAGTGGTCTGTTCTTACCTACTTCCGAGGGCTGAGAGAGAGTGACTAACCCCCTAGTTGGCTTTGTAACTAAGGCAAGCTTAGAACTCATGGTCTCCCAGTTTCTAATCTAATACCTTAATAACTACACTAACTAATGCTTGTTCTTTAATGTAATGTACTGTTAATTTTTAGCTGAAGGGTTGCATTTTGCAGTAAAGGAACTAGCAAGTATTCTGAATGGACCATGTCAGCTGGACAGTACAATGTACCCCCTCATGCCTACTGCAGGGCTAGAAAAGGTTTACAGTGGAATAGTAATGTGTGGCAAAAAAAGAGAAAGTAATATATAAAATCTGTATGATAGTAATTGCAAATGTTTGGGGACTTTTTCTTCGTAAAGGATTTACAAAGCTAAATTGGGAGCTAAACAGAATGGAAAAGTATATTACTTCATGTGGTATTGATATTTGCTTTCCCACTGCTATCACCACCACTTTCACTGGGAGCTAGGGAGATTTTGTTCAGACCTAAGTGATATATTACATGCAAACATGGGGAAATAGATTATACAGAGAATCATCTTATAGATTAGTCCAAAAGCCTCCCTAGTGTAGAGTCTTGTTTTCCACAGAGACCAGCCAGATCCTAAGAGAAGCCTATCAACAGAACATGAAGTATGAGCAATTTCTGGCTGTCTTTGATCCTCTAGTTAAGATATAGGCTTCATAACTAGTAACTATTAAAAGGGGATTTGTTTAAAATCCCCTTGGAAGCCATCTAAGTTGGTGGCCATCACCCCATCACTGTTCTAGCAATTTCACAGATCTAGTATATACTGTGGATAAGATGTTTTCAGTGTTGTTCTCTCTCTCTCTCTCTCTCTCTCTCTCTCTCTCTCTCTCTCTCTCTCTCTCTCTCTCTCTCTCTCTCTCTCTCTCTCTCTCTCTCTCTCTCTCTCTCTCTCTCTCTCTCTCTCTCCACAACCCAATTATGCACTCCATACATTATTTTATAAATAGGTTCATAGCAACCTACTTCCACAGTCCAGTTGCATATAGCTGGTTTCCAACTTTTATTTACTTGACACATCAAGTTGCAAGGATTGAAACTTACAATGGAAATAGTGCAAGACACGATAGGGAGAGAGTTGAACAGTGTTTCTCAACCTTGGCATATTGACTGGGAAATTTAAGGTGGGGAAATCCACACATCTTAAAGTCTCCATTGTTCAAAAATGCTTGTATGAAGATTTCCTGCTTTTTTTGCACAATTAAAAGTCATTATTTTTAGTATAAAAATAGCCTTGTTAGTATAAAAATAGCATGTCTGCTTTCATGATATTGTGATCTGCTTTAACCTACAGCTTCGACATCACTGTTGTCCAGTCTCAAACTCCAAAGACATCTGATTCCACAATACAAGGACAAACAAATGTCTTTTCACAGGGTGCCCTGTGAAGGAAGCACGTAAGGTTTTGGGGAACAGTTTCTGTATTGGTCATTTGTTGTAGTGACAAAAAACACCAGCAACAAACTACAAGCAACCAATTAACATATGACTAATTTATACAAAGGAGCATTGGACTTATGATTTTTAAGCCATTTGAGGACTTATTTTGTATGTCTACTTTGCTGATTTCAACTTCCTGTACATGGATCAGAAAACTTGAACTAACCCATGGCATAAAGTAAAGCAAGAGAACAATTTTATTTGCCTCATTAGCACACAATCCGGTAGCAAGTCAGAACAGTAGCATCCATCCTTATCACAGCAAAATTGGCAACTGAATGTCTTTCTCATACCTATCTTCTCACCTGATAACATGTTGTCTGTTTTTAGCGAAGGAAACTTCAAAGTCATTTCATGCTTGTGACTGTGGATCATCAGATGGTCCTCTGTTGGAAAGCGCTGTTGGGAAAATAAAAATTTCAGCTCCTGAAATATTGACTGGAATTTATTTTTTTTTACTATTCCAAGCATTAAAATGACAGATAAGGAATATGAGGAAGAGTGGAATCAAATTATAGAAGTAACGGTGACTGAAAGCTTCCTGTTATTTAAATCTTACTGTTTAAAAGAATGTTGGATGAGTTACTGTTGTAAACCACCCAGCATTACTTAAGTTAAGTAGAGTAGAAATTTAATAAATAAATAATACATTTTACATTATTATAAAAGGTCACTAAAGAAAAGTTTTCATTTTGTTGGTCTATGTAGTATTTGCTTTTCTGTCTCTCTTTGTTACCTATTAATACATTTTGGGACATACAGTCTTATGAACATATTTGAAAATTATCTAGTGATGTTATTACTCCTTGAGAAAATGTCTGCCAATGGCTGAGCCAATGATTAATGGATCTGTATGAAACGTTCAAAAGTGGTGCTGATCAGATGAAGCTGAGAAAGCATTAAAGTATTTGTGTGCTCAGAAAGGGGAGCACCAACAGCTTTGAAGATTTTCTCTTGTATCTGCACAAGGATTCAGATGCCATATATCAGCTGGGACTATGGCCTTTGCAAGACACCCTTTTCAAGTCCTTTGCACACACTGTTATTTAATATTATTTCATGCATATGAGACTATACATTTATAAACATATTCTGGGATTCTTAAGTATGGCAGGGAACAAAACAATGCTACATAGGAAATTAGAGGAGGTCTCTCTCAGAATTATCTGGCTTTATTTCTTCCAGGACATCAGGCAGAAAAGGATTAATATCCATCCTAAAAAGCATCATCAAGTGTTGTGTTTTTCAGATGTTTCTTTCAGGATAACTGTTATTTAACACTTACGATTTATTCAAGTTTAAAACCCTGATTGTGTTAATGTAATAAAATTTTAATGAAGAAATGTTTCTTAAGGGTGTATGTAAGTTGCTATGAGGCACATCCATTGACAGAACTGAACAGAATAGCCATATTTATTATGCATTTGTGTTTTATGGCATTAAATTGCTAGCAGAAAGAGCACTTTAAAATGATATAATAAAATTTGAAATTATGATAGGGACATGTTAGCATGGTGAAACTCTACTACAGCTATATTCTTGCAGGTTTAATTCACCTGTGAACAGCCTGGGGCACTGCAGACAAAAGGCCTCTCTTGTTCCAAATTCATTTTTGATTCTTCATAAATCTACACATTAAAAGAAAAAGGGGGAATAAAAAAAACATAAATATAGCCGTCCATAGCTTTAGCAGATATGGAAAATACAGGCCAGCCTTCTCAATCTGGTTCCTGCAGATGTGATAGATAATATATTTCAACCACCTGATTACTGTGGTTGGAAGTTAAAATAAATAGTACAATAGCTTAGGTACATTCAGGAAATGCAAGCTGTATATGTTTGCATCTAAGTCTGCATTTTAACATTGACTTTACCAACTCATTAAAAAAAAATCTTACTTAATAACTGAAATATAGTTGACTCCAATACCTACATTTTTACCTATCTACAAATTTACCAATTAGAAAGGAATTACAAAAAATTATATTTGGAGAAAGTGTGACAAAAACACATTCTATAAAGGAAAGTTGTAAAAATATGTTTGTTAGGAGACTTAAGTTGCAAGCATATACTTGAAAATAAAAACACTTCAGAGAAAAATGTCTATGACTTAATATAAAAATTTAAAAAATAAATTAACAGGGATATTTATATATATACTTCTAATAAGATTGAATAGACTGAATAAATTTAAGAGCAGAAAGGGAAGAAAAATTAAGACTCAAAGTTGAAACTATCAACCATTCCCATAGAAATATTATAAGGTTTCAGAATGAAAAGTGCATATATAGTCTGAAAAAAGGGCAATAATAACTCTGAAAGGAGAATGACCCTAAATTTCCACATTCCTGGAAACTGAGAATTAGTTTCACTGAAAAAAAGCTAATAAAAAAACAAAGATGGCCTTTCAATTTTTTTAAAAACAAAAAAATTAGGGTGGCAGACTAATTTGCTTGTGAATACATCTCAATACAGTATTTGAATTTCTATCTGGAAAACATTATATCTGTCTGCAAATAAACCTTTGGCAATTGGAAAATTGCTTGTCATGTTTTAATCTAGAAAGTGCTTTGTCCTTATTTGTTCATCTACACAGATGAATAGAAATAGAGACTATCTTTTAATGCTTACTAGTTTTTCATTTCCAACAATTTTCTATTTGGTAAACTTCAGTTTTCTACTCTGAAACAATTTTACAGAATACTGTTTTATTATAATCTAAATACAAATTAAATATAAGAAAAATATTCTCTTCCATGGGTAGTTTAGTGCTATTTGAGGATTTACAATTCTGATTGATGCAGCAAATTATTTTTTCCAGAAACAGGTTGGGATCTTCCCAAAGTTCATTGCTGTATGACCTAGTATCCTCTTTGTTAGAAGTTACTGCAAATATTTCAACTTCTGATTATAAGAATATCAAAATGTTCATTATTTTAACCAGTAAAAAAATACAGTGGTTATAATGGCATCCAGGACTATGATACTCCAGCATCTAAGATTATCACCAAGCATAGATTTGAAAAGAAGAGAATTATAATGGCACATATTGATGCTTCCAAATTTACAAAAAGCTCTTGATGGTATCTTTGCATAGATTGAAAATGTCTTCATTACCTAATCCAGTTGCAGATATGTCCAAACCAAATACAGAACAAATGCATGTGAAATGCATGTGAAATTCAGTTGACTACTTACTATCCTAAGTAATTATTAGCAAAGGCAAGTTTGCCATTATTTTTTTAAAGCAGATTCACCCATTCTTCAGTTGAATTGACTTACGTGGAATCTATGAGAGAAAGATGTGTGCTGCATAGACATACTTTCTGTCCTCAAAAATATGTGAAAGGTGTATTCAGGTCACAATTTGTAAAGTTACAGCATTACTATTTTTATTTGATTTCCAGCTGATAAGAGAAATTTTTCACAGTTTTCTGATGCCTTTAGATAACTAGAGATGTTTCATTTTGAAATAAGTTGACCTGCCAAGTGAATGCCACATCTATATGTTTTTATTAAATGGAACAGTTTATTTACCAGATTGCAAAATGGCTGCTTCTCATTTCGTTCTACTTTTACCATGTTTTGTATTAACAAAACTTTGAGAAACTTACATTTTACATTTATCAAGAGAGGGAACCAAGCTTTACATTCTTCAGTTGCAGACCAAGAAGAGGGTGTAGGTCACTGGTTCAATAATATTTTGTTCTACTAACACTATTTAAGAAAGGGAAATTGATGGTGAAAAAAAGTCATTTCATCCATCTTATACAGAAGGATAAAGGATCCTTTATTAAAGGATAAATAACAAAGAGGGCAACAAGTTATATTCTTACTGAAAGTGACTATGTTGAGTATTTTTAACAGAATAATAGAATTGGAAGGGACCTTGGAGGTCTTGTAGTCCAACCCCCTGCTCAAGCAGGTGACCCCATATGATTCTGGACAAATGGCTGTCCAATATCTTCTTAAAAGTCTCCAGTGATGGAGCACCCACAGCTTTTGGAGGCAAGCCATTCCACTGATTAATTGTTCTCAGCGTCAGAAAATGTTTCCTTAGTTCTAGGTTGGTTCCCTCCTTGATTAGCTTCCATTCATTGCTTCTTGTCATGCCTTCAGGTGATTCGAGGAACATCTGAGATTGTTACCAAGCACTGAGATGGGAAGACTATCCTGTCCCCTAGTCCTTCTCTTTTTAGACTAGACATACCTAGTTCCTGCAGTCGTTCCTCATGCTTTAGCCTCCAATCCACTAATCATTATTGTTATTGTTCTCTGCAGTCTTTCTAGGTTAACAACTGTGTTAACCAAAACTGGATGAGTATTCCAAGTGTGGTATTATCAAAGTAGTACAAAGCAGTGCTTCACATGACCTTGATACTATCTCTCTTTGATGTAGCCTAGGATTACATTGGCTTTTTTGGCAGCTGCAGAATACTGCTGATTCATACTTAAATGTTTGTCTAGTAGGATTCCTAGATCCCTCTCCGAGTTACTGCTGTTGAGCCAGATACCATATATTTTCTATCTGTGCCTAAGTGTAAAACCTTACTTTTCTCACTACTAAATTGCATCTTGTTGATAGGACCTAGTGTTCAAGTCTGTTAAGATCTTTTTAGATCTTGAACCTATCAAGATCTTGAGTGTTGGGTATTTCCCTCAATTAATGTAATTTGCAATTTTGATGACATTTATGGAAATGTTGAAGAGTATGGGACTTAAGACAAAACCTTGGAGCTTCCCTCCATGTAGATATAGTTCCATTAAGAACTACACGCTGAGTGCAGTTGGTCAGCTGGCAGTGATGCTGTCTATCCCACATTTTTTTTATCTTACCAAGAAGTACATTGTACTCTAACTTGTCATAAAGTCTCATAAAACTAATAATATATTTTTTAAAAGAATAATGGTTGGAGGGACAGCAACCACACTGAATTGTTTTTCTATCCATAGATATACACTTTATGGTAGTAAAATAGCACTTTTAAAAAAGAAGAAGGCTGTATTTTATTTTAATTGGAATATAATAAAGACAATATAAAAAAACAGGCATAGTAACCTTGTTTAATTAAATGATAATGGAACCTATAACCCAGGACTAAATAAGCATGCACCACTATTGCATACAGTTCATTAAATCAAGTAGGATAAAATCATATTTTGCATCATTATAATACAGAAGATTTGGGCAGTGTGTCCATGTGAGTGGGGATTTTATAGTTCAACTAGAGCAATTTTCCAGTTAATTTCCTACAGTATGGAGATATTCAAATGCTTTCCTGTTTTAAGAATCTTGCCACTGCTCTAAGACATGTTTCTCAATCATAGCAACTTTAACATGTGTAGATTTCAACTCCCAGAATTCTCCAGCAAACATTATAGACATTTTCTTTGAGATTTCTTAGATCAAGAAATGGTCTCCATAACCATTGCATATCTACTCCTTAGCAGCTGTCAAAAGACAATGGTTGCATTATTTTTGGTATTTATTTTCCCCTAACTACATATCTACATAAATAGAACACAACAATGAAGAAAACTGTCTTGAATGCATTTGGGTCAATATAAAAGGGGGGGAAACGACATTACCATAGGTGTATACTACAGGCCACCCAACCAAACAGAGGAAATAGACGAACTTTTTGCTAGTCAGCTAACTAAGGTATGTAGGAAGCACATCACAATAGTAATGGGGGACTTTAACTATCCTGACATCAACTGGGAGACAAACTCTGCACCAAGTGGAAAATCAAACAGATTCCTTGCAAACCTAGCAGACAATTTTGTCTCCCAAAAAGTTGAGAAGGGAACTAGGGGATTAGCCATTTTGGATCTAATTCTCACTAACAGAGATGAAATGATAGAAGGTGTTGAAGCCACAGGAACCTTGGGAGGAAGTGATCATGCAGTATGGAAGCACAAGCAGTAGAACACAGTATGGAAGCACAAGCAGTAGAACACAGTCAAACTAGAGTCTTGGACTTTAAGAGAGCTAATTTCAATAAACTTAGAGAGGGCTTGGGAAGGATTCCATGGATGATAATCCTCAAGGGGAAAACAACTCAAGAAGCTTGGGAAATTTTGAAAAGTGAGATAATAAAAGCCCAGTCCAGCATAATACCAACAAAGAGAAAAAATAACAGCTCTCAAAAGAAACCAGAATGGCTGCATAAAGAACTCTCTGATAAATTGAAAGATAAAAAGGACAAGTATAGAAAGTGGAAAGAGGGGCACATAATTAAGTCAGAATATCAACAAATAGCCCGAGCCTGCAAAGATGAAGTGAGGAAAGCTAAGGCTCAAAATGAACTAAGGCTTGCGACCAAAGTCAAAAATAACAAAAAAAAGCTTCTTTCAACATGTAAAAAACAAGAAAAAAGTGAAGGAAATGATTGGTCCATTAGTGGGGGAAAGTGGGAAGAAGGTGACAAGCAACAGGGAGAAAGCAGAATTGTTTAACTCATTTTTTGCATCTGTCTTTACAGAAAGGGAAAAAACAGACCAACCTACCAAAACTGGTGCCATAAAAAACAGAATAGAAACACAAGTTAAGATAGGCAAGAAAATGGTAAGTGTGCACCTGTCCAGCCTAGATGAGTTCAAATCACCAGGACCAGATGGATTACACCCCAGGGTTCTCAAGGAACTGGCAGATGTGATCTCAGAACCATTGAACTATATTTTTCAAAGATCCTGGAGCACTGGGGAACTACCGGAGGATTGGAAAAGAGCTGATGTAGTTCCCATCTTCAAAAAAGGGAAAAAAATGGACCCAGGAATTACAGACCTATCAGCCTGACCTCAATACCTGGGAAGATTCTGGAAAAGATAATCAAACAACGAATCAGTGAACACCTAGAGGCAAACAAAGTCAGTACTAAAAGCCAACATGGGTTTGTCAAAAACAGATCATGCCAGACAAATCTTATTGCATTCTTTAACCAAGTGACGAAATTAGTGGATCAGAGGAATGCTGTGGATATAATTTACTTGGACTTCAGTAAGGCATTTGATAAAGTAGATCACAACCTACTACTTAATAAGATAGAAAAATGTGGGTTAGACAGCATCACCACCAGATGGATCCGTAGCTGGCTGACCAGCCGTACTCAGCGTGTGGTCCTCAATGGAACCACATCTACATGGAGGGAAGTGTGTAGTGGGGTGCCCCAGGGATCTGTTCTGGGCCCAGTGCTCTTCAACATCTTCATCAACGATTTGGATGAGGGGATAGATGGGGAAATTATCAAATTTGCAGATGACACCAAGCTGGCAGGAATAGCCAACACTCCAGAAGACAGGCTTAGGATACAGGAGGATCTGGACAGACTTGAACACTGGGTGCTATCTAACAAAATGAAATTCAATGGTGAAAAAAGTAAGGTTCTACATTTAGGCAAGAAAAACCAAATGTACAGGTATAGTATAGGGGGTACCTTGCTCANCACAAAGAAGAGGGAGTCAAGCTATTTTCCAAGGCACCTGAGGGCAGGACAAGAAGCAATGGATGGAAACTAATCAAGGAGAGAAGCAACCTAGAACTAAGGAGAAACTTCCTGACAGTTAGAACAATTAACCAGTGGAACAACCTGCCTCCAGAAGTGGTGAATGCTCCAACACTGGAAGTTTTTAAGAAGAGACTGGACAGCCATTTGTCTGAAATGGTATAGGGTTTCCTGCCTGAGCATGGGGTTGGACTAGATGACTTCCAAGGTCCCTTCCAACTTTATTATTATTATTATATGTGTACATTGTTATGCCTATTCTGAAAGGATTTTATTACCTCTGAGATTTATATTTTGTAGGTGCTCTTTTAGAGCTTTCTGTGACTTAGAATATGGATCCCTGAAAAATTGTCTTTTAATGGAGCTATTTAGACAGACCTATCAAAGAATTTCCAAATTTGAGCTTATTGGTAGGCAAAAAGAAAAAACTTCTAAATGTTGCTCAAATCTCTCTTTGGAACTACAGCTGGTCTTTATTTTCTCTTTTCAAAAAGGCTATCATTATAATAATGTTAATTAACCCTTTAGAATTATTAAAGGATATTTACTGTCTTTTGAAAGCTTTACTGTCTTATTACTATATGATTTTTAAAATATATTTTTTATTATTTCTATATATTTTTTGTTTAGAAAGAAACCCTTTTTATAAAGATGACACTATAACAATTTAAATAAATAATAAATACAATTATGCTTGCTACAACTAAATTGTGCTGGACCTATTATTTTTAGAAATGCAATGTTAAATATGCATAATGTCTTTCTATTTTTAAGTTTTTGCTAGTGTTGTGAGAAATTTTATCAGATACAGTGGGTGTCTATGATCTACCATTTAATCACACATCTTAAACTGGTATGGTGGTTTGTTTACCTCTTAATATGAATGCAGTATAGATGAGTTAGTTACTCCAGGGTAAGACACTTAGCAAAGGGTCAAATGTTCTTCCGTCTTGGCTCAAGGTGACTGATCTACAAGAAAATGATATTGAAAATAATGACATTTCACATTATCCAACACATTTGCTTCAGAATAAATAAATAAAAATAAATAAAGTGAACCCAAATAATAAAAATCATAAGGACAACACTAAGCCAACTTCTATCAGAATTAATGTAAATGTGATTTTGTTTGGTGATGCAGGAAGAAGTGACTGCATTATTGTAGTCTGAACTATCACTCCAAACATATCCTTCATATTAAAATAATATGATAAACATATGCCCAAACATAGAACTGTTTTGAAGTCAAGCTTAATATAATGTAAAATAGAAAAGAGGAAGTTTTTCTCTAATTGACCATAGGAATTATATATACACTTCTGTGTAGATTTTTTCAGTCAATATACCTAAGTATTTTTTCCCCACCTTCCTTGTTCAACATATTTCAAACTCTCTGGGCAAAGTCTTTAGCCCCAAGATTTCTCAATAAAGTATATTCCAGGTTCAAGCAAGTTTACTTAGGTTTTTTTCCCCCCCAAATGAACTTATCTCAGCTAAGTGCTATGAACTGCTGGCCTAAGTTGAATTTACTAAACACCAATTCACACATTCTCTGGAAAGGGGGGAAAAAAACATTTGGCTTCACAAATTAGCTATGCATATTTTTCATACATTTTTATGTGTCTCTGATACATATTTGTTCCAATGGAAGTTAATGCACAGCACATGAGTAGATGTATATATACTGGAAAACACTTAAATACACCAGTAAAAATTAATCCTACTCCTACTGCAAAACATATCATCAAATTCTGTTGAAGTATTAATTGAGCTATTCATCCACTGCCTTGATTCCCCCAAGGTGGAGGTCTGTTAGCTATTCATCTGCTACCTTGATGGGCACATTTGCTAAAGATTATGAAAAAGAAAATGTAGAGTTTGACAGAGCCGATTACAGCATAGTATGTAGGGGACGGGTCAGATGGCTGGTAGAATCTATTCCAGCTTGGCTAACCAAGATAAATGGATGAATCCTCTTTAATAATTGGATGGGAGCGTGTTAGGAGATTCAATGGCTATTGATTAGGAAGTCAAAATGACAACATGAAGGTGTCCATCGACACCTCAATTGGAGTAGGAAACTTTATTTTGCTGTAAGTGGAAAGAGAGCGAGGGAGTTGGGAGTGGATCATTCTTCAGCAGTATCTATGCTTAATAAACATCTGGACAATATTAAACTTGATTTTGCTTAATTAGAACAGAATAGGCATACCTTTTAAAGCAATCCCACTAGACCACAAAGAAACACTAAAAAAACAAATGAAGCAACTACCACAATAATTTTGAGGCCATTTTTCCTCTTTGCTTTACATACTATCCTTCTTGATAGCACAAACCACAAATCTGCCATCACACTATCACTGTTAAGGAATGGTGTGAAATAATTAGACTTAAGAAAGCTCATTTTATTTTCCATCTTGGAAAATAAAACAAACAGCAAAATAAAATATCCGCAAAAATACGTAGGGCTTTTCGACTAAGAATATCACACAGGCTTGCTTCCTGTTCCAATGTTATTCTTGAAGTGGGCTGCAGTCAGAATCTGATTTTCATCGAGCTATTATTATTTGCAGCTGTGTGACCTTCTTAACCCTGTTTCGAAAGTGACATTTCAGCCCTTGGTTTCAAACTGGCTGAATTTTCAACCTTGTGATTAACCCTAAAATAAAGGAAAGGCTAATTGTTGTGCAAACCTCCAGTCTAGGTCAGAAGCTTGGTCTTACATTTTTGCTATGTCTATTTATCTGCCTATTCATTCATTCTTGTAGAAACATACAAAGTTTGGTGGAATGTGATATCCAGATGGATTTGCAGGAAAAATATCTGACTATGAGTGGAGAAAATCCCGGTGTCTATTCTGCACTGATTTTTCCTAGGAAGTCCGCCTGGCAGACACAGTTCATATTTGATTTAGGGCTGTTTCAGATGGTACAGAGCATTTCTATATAACAGGAATGGTCAACACAGTGTCTTCTGGTAATTTTAGATGCTGTCTCTTCCAAGTTTTAATCAGCAAGACCAATGGACTATTGGGTGAATTCTAATCCAAAATATATGGAGCAGCCAGATTATTTATTCATTATCTACTGCAATGTCAATGGTTATCCCAAAGTTGCCTTTTCAAAAGGCAACTGGACTTTCTCTGTTTTTCCTCAAAGACATCTCACTTCTCATCCAAGAAGCTTCTTCAGTTCTGACTGAATATAAATCCTTCTATTCCTACAATTTAGTCAGAACTGAAGAAGCATCTTAAATGAAAAATGAAATGTCTTCCAGGAAAACAAAGGAAGTCCAGTTGCCTTTTGAAAAAGCACCCTTGGGAGATATAATGCAGTGTTTCTCAACCTTTACAATTGATGATGTGTGGACTTCAACTCCAATATGTTGCATGAAACCAGCCACTCAGGTTATAAGTCATAGTTTATGGAAGAGGTGGGGAACCCCAGACTATGTTTTTGGAGCCATAAGAACCATTCCCAGATTAAGCCATTGAAATTTTCAACTGTTAGCAGTTGAAATCTGCTCCTTTTATTTATAAAATAGTGAAAATGCTGGGTTTCATGCATTTTCCCTTGGCTCTCAACCACTTCAAAATGTTCAAGCAAACCCTTCCAAAATCAGATCTTCCCATTCTTGTATTGGTGGCTGTTTGAGGCCTACAATCATAAATGGAATGGTATGAATCACCAATCAGTGAACAGAACCCACCTGACGCACCCCAGACAAATGGCTGTCTAGTCTCTGCTTGAACACATGCAGTGAATGGAAGTCCATTGTTTTTCTGGTTGTACTTTGAACAGCTTACTCTCAGGGATTTTTCCCCCTAATGTTCAGTTGGAACCTGTCTTCTTATAACATAAATATATGTAATAAAAGTGGTAATTCTCTGGTTCACAATGGTTATTTGTTTTTCATTTAGGTTTAGAGTGTTTCAGGAACGATTCAGTTGCAATTGCGTTCATTAACCATTGCTAAACAAACCACATCTTAGTACAGTTTGTGAAAGGAAGGTAAAGGTTTCCATCCAGATGTTCATCATGCATAATTGCAGGTATTTATCCTCATTCTGGAGACAAGGAGTAGAACAACCGTAATCTAATTTTCAGTTTTGAGAATTCAGTCAGCATTCTCAGATAGTCTCTTTCCTATAGAGAGGCCAAGAAATCGGCATCTGTTCTCCATGCAGTAGTAGAGAAAAAATAAGAGGAGGTACACATTTGAGATACAATTTGGGGTGGCTTTCAGTCTAGTTTTCCCCATCTCAGCCAGGAATAATTTGTGAAGGACTAATTCCAATTCATATCTAACAAATCTGAATCATTTATCTTAACCATAAATCACCAGATTATACATGCATGCACCTACAAACAAACACACACACACACACACAAACACACACACACACACACAAAATGATTTTCATCCAAACTTTCTTCATATTTAGCATCTGGGGCACGATGTGTTTTGTTCAAACAATGCTAAATGCTTTTGAGAAAAGAAACAAAATAGGAAACAGGAATCCTTCCCTTGAAGGTGAAAAGAAAGGGAATATGTTTAAGCACAAAGCTCATGCCAGCTTGGAATCATAAAAACTATAATTAACTCCTACACTCGCATTTTAATTTATATTGTCAGTCAGATCTGCCCTGCTTGATATTCAAGAATGACCTATATACATTATTGAAGTAGGGAACATTCTAATAAAATAAAGTTTGTGTGTCACCAAAATTAAGATGCATGTTCATTTACTATATCAAATTCAGCATATATATTATATAGTGTGCCTGGGTAGTATTCTAATATCTTTAACTGTAGTATCAATTCTTTTTCCCCTCCAGGATATTAACTGACTATCTGTTTGTGCCATTGCCTACAAAAATCCATGCCACAATAAATTTATTAATCTCTCAAGACCATTAAATGCTCCTTAAGAACATTTTCTCTCTCTCTCTTTGGGCCATTAATGGCCAAATTAATGGCAAATTTTCTAGAATTTGTCAAAGAGTAGCATAGTTCACAATGGAGAGACAAAGAGTTGGTGGCAAAATTTGTTACTAGCTTCTGCCTGTGTGAGAAAACCCTCATTCCAATTTTCAGGATCATTGCAATGAAATGGAGCAAAATATTTTCCTTCTGTCCATCTAAAGTGTTTGTTTTAAAAACAGCCAGCATCAAGATTTCCACATGTGGACATACGGATTCATTATTACATGTGGCTGTTATAATTAAGGGCCCATCACACATATTAAAATATTTCCAAATGGGTCTGGATGCTTGGAATAATTTCACATTTGGAATTCCCCAAGTAGGTCTTAGCATGATCGAAAGCTGGCATTTAAATTCTCAATGATGCTTTGGTGAAATTGTATATAATTATATGTATGCAGTGCCAATATACAGAAATGCAATCAAATTGAAGTATATTAAAAATGAGTGTCATCTAAAAGCTTTTCTTATAAATGCATTTTTCCAAGAAAGACCTAATAGCTAAAATAACAACCATCATCACCTCAGTCAATAAAGAACATATAAAATACAGAGTACACGTGCAAAGAGGTATAAAGTCTGTTCCTCAAATTAACTGAAATTTTTAAACAGCCGTCTTGCATTGTTTTTACTGTAGGATCTAGATGTTAATTTGCAGTTTGAGACAGTGTTGTATGAAAAGAAAATTACAGGGAATTAATTATAAGAAAATAAAATAGGAAAATGTGAACAACATTGCTATATCAGAATATAATTCTGTTTAGCTCTACATTCTTTTTCCACCATAAGAAAATAATAGTGTAATAGTGCTTCATTTTGTGCTCCCCAGCATATGCTTTTGGAGCTACATAACATGGCCTATGGCCATCATGATTAATAGCCACTGACAAACCTTATCTTCCAAGAATGTATTTTATCTCACTCTTAAAGCCAATCAGGCTTGTGATCTTCTATACATCTTGTGGCAGCA